AGTGCAGTAACAAATACACTATTAACCTCTGAGATGTGGAAGAGTAAAACTATTAAGTATAATAAAATGGAAATACTCCAGGAAAAAGCAAATACTTTGGATCTGTACTGAAGTACTTGAGTAAAAGAACCACAGAGACACAGTTGATTTGATCTCTTCAGTTTAATCTGACAATTTGCTCTCATCTTCAGGTTTCAGTTCAGAAGCTGCTGCAGGTTTTAGCTTCACTTCCTGCTGCTCAATGTGTGACAGTGTGTGTTGTGTGTTTATCTGCTGGTGTGTGTTTAACCACTTTGTGGCCACAGGATGTGGTTGGAGGTGAGAAGCGCCCCTCGCTGTGTCTCCATGGTGACAAATAAAGCTGCTAAAAAAATTACCTGCTTTAGCAGAAAACAAGTGTGTTTCACATATGTGCTGCTCCTCGAGTGTTTGTAACCTTCTGCTGCAGCTTCTGAATAACTCACTATATTCTGAGATAAGTTTTACTGTAGATTAAATCTGAGCACTTTTTTATTTTATCAGAAATAGAAAGATAAGAGTTACTGACTCCTGGTTGTTTGTCTCCGCCCACCAGCTGAGCTGCACTTAACAGTCTCCATCCATGTCAGTGAAAACATGGATGCTTCACACTCAGAAGATCTATACAACCAGCACAGTTTAGAGATTAGAGTCACCAATTCAGTATCTGACCAAATGTCTCCCCTTCTGTTCCTGAGATATGACGTTAAAACATGATGATGTCACAGTCAAGATGACCTTTGACCTTTTGACCTTCATTATTTTATCCTGTTAGACATTTGTGTCAAGTTATGTCATAATTACATATTTGTTATTGAATGATGGCCAGAAACATGTTTTGTGAGGTCAAAATGACCTTTGACCACCAAATTCTAATCAGATTATTCTGGACGTTTGTGCCAAATCTTAAGAAATTTCCTCAAGATGCTCTTGGGATGTTGCTCAATGAGAATGAGAGAGATGGAAGGTAACAGTGACCTTTGACCACAAAGTTCTAATCAATTCATCGTTGATTCTAAGTGAACATTTGTGCCAAGTCTTAAGAAATTCCCTCAAGGTGTTTTCCAGATATGGCATTTACAAGACAGGTCACAGTGACCTTTGACCTATGACCACCAAAATCTAGTCAGTTCATTGTTAAGTTCAAGTAGATGTTTGTGCCAAATTTTAAGAAATTCCCTCAAGATGTCCTTTAGATATTGCATTCACAAAAATGAGGCATGTAAGGTCACAGTGACCTTGATCTTTGACCACCAAAATCAAATAAGTTCATTGTTGATTTCAAGTGAACTTTTCTGCCAGATTTGAAGAATTTTCCTCAAGGTGTTTATGAACTATCACTTTCGCAAGAATGAGACTGAAGCGGTCACAGTGACCTTTGACTTCAACTATTAAATTCCAATCAGTTTATTCTTGGATGTTTGTGTCAAATTTGAGAAAACTCTCTCAAGGTCTTCCTGAGATACTGTGTACAATAATAAGATAGATGCAAGTTCATGGTGACCTTGACCTTTAACGACCAAGTTCAAAACAACTTATTGTTGATTCCATGTGAACTTTTGTGCCAAATTTGAAAAAAAAAAAAAAAAAGGCGTTCTTGAGATATCACGTTCACAAAAATGAGACAGGCAAGGTCACAGTGACCTTGAGCTTTGAACACCAAAATCTAATCAATTCATTGTTAAGTCCAAGTAGCTGTTTGGGCCAAATTATGAGAAATTCCCTCGAGATGTCCTTTAGGTATCGCCTTCACGAGAATGAAACAGATGGAAGGACACAGTGACCTTGACCTTTAACCACCAAGCTCTAATCAGTCCATCTTTGTTTCAAGTGAACATTTGTGCCAAATTTGAAAAAGACATATCGCCTTCCTGAGAATGGGACAGGCGGACTTATGGATGTGTGGACGTACGTACAGATGGACGGACGGATGGATGGACATCCCAAAAACACAGAGCCTCCAGTCGTGGCTCTCAGCGGCACAGAGGCATGAAAACGCTGTTATTATTTATTAGTAACTCAGGTCGTCATGCTGCAGTTACCAGTTTTGTCCTTTTCTGGCTCTCCCAGGCCGCTCTTCCTCCTCCTCCTCCTCCTCCTCCTCCTCCTCTCTGCTGGTACTGAGGCTGCAGGTTAAATTATTCATGAGCACTCTGAGAGCATTTTAGTCAAAAATTCAGGAGGCTCGTTCTGCTGCTCAGCGCTGAGACTCATTGTGTTTCTGTGTGGCACCAACAGATCATCTCTAAGATTATATCAGTCAGTGTGAAGGAAACACAGACGTGATATCTTCCTGTCAGAACTCAGATTCACTTCAAATGAAATGCTGAGCTGGTTTTTAACCTCCATCAGTCAGTGTACAGCCGGTCAGATAAACATGTGACCACTGTGAGGCCGTGCTGAGCTAACATGCTAACATGCTGATGTTTCTCAGGTACTTAACAACCAACCATTAGAATAAATATCTGCCAACCACAGATACATTTGTTTGTTATGTTATGTTAGGTTTCTGTGATGTGCTGTAAAGTTTAGTTGCTTAATAGAGACAGTTTCAAACACAAGTACACAAATCAGCTTCACTATAACTCGCAGCATTCACAGACAAACACTTGTCTTTATCTGGACACATTTTCCCCACAAATACAACATGCTAACGTTATTAGCACAAGCCTATGGCATTTTACATTGTATAAGTTAGCCTAGCGACTAGCGCAGATTTCCTCTGCTCATATGAAGCCAGGATAAATCACACACAAGACTTAAAATGCTATTTTAGTGGAGGCTTTATTGTCTTCACAATTTATTGTTTCTTATCTGTGAAATTAAATGGTTTCAGCTTACAGAGACAGACAGGAGGTCTGCGTCGCCTCCCATTTCTGGGGAGGTGCACGCCTGTGTTGACGTGGAGTCTACGCTGTAGGTACAGTGTCGATTAGACGCAGAGATATAAAGTGTTTTTTGTGCGTGAAGTTTTCCTTTAATGGTAAACTCTGGACAAAATAATATTTTTACAGTCTGAAACCTCTGCAAAAGAAAAAATAGTCATTCTCCTAAACCCCTTAAAATGTGATGATCTCCATGACGACATCCCATAATGAAGCCAACAAGAAAAGGCTGAAACACACTGAATGTGTCAGTTTAACTGTGTGCTGGAACAGTCTGCCCTGTGTTCACTATGCTCACCCTGTGTGCATGTGTGTGTGTGTGTGTCTGTGTGCTCAGTGTGTTTTGTGTATGTGTTTTCAGTGTGTGTGTGTGTGTGTGTGTGTGTGTATGTGTGTGTGTTGAGTGTGCGTGCCGACAGAAACGTCCGGACGGCGGCTCTGTGTTTCAGAACAATCGTGTGTTTGGACTGGAGCTCTGGAAGCTTTCAGACTCAGCACTGCTGCAGTGTTTGCAGACAGAGACCACACCTCCACAGACCTGTCAACGCTCACACACTCCGCCATGATGTCACAGGATGTTCACTTCAAAATAAAGGCACGGACACTCTGAGAAAATAAGAGTTTACATCTGTGCAGCTGTCTTTATCTCTGAATACACTGTGTTAAAATAACAGATTCATATAATTTACTTTCATCTCTATCTGATAATGTTGTCACCAGTAGTTAGTGTTTTTATTTATTTTTGGAAACACGTTAAATACCAATTTCTATGGCCTATGTACATTTGAGCCCTTTTTTCTTAAAGCATATAAATATGAAACAAAGCCAATATATATGTATATGTATATGTGTATATATATATATATATATATATATATATGTAATTTTAGTGTTTTTTTATTTTCTTCATCTTTTCCTTTACATCATATTTTTGAACATTGTAACTTTGCATTATCTGCATTATACTTTTGTAAAATATAATATGATAGGAAATGTAATAAAACATGAAACATAACCCAGTAAGTAGAAAAGTAGTGAAGTCGTAACTCTTGTCTTTGACCTACAGTGACCCCATAATGTTAATGACGGTGACAGAATATGAAAATGGCCACAGAACATTGAACATTACACCCAGTGAGGACACATTTAATATTCTATTTGTTATATGGACTAGGCTATATGAATGAACAAACAAATAAATATTCCTTCATTTTCCCCACATGTAAAAGAAATATATATTTCACCTGACCTCTCAGAGAGGTGTAACTCTCTGTTTGAGCTCTTATAAACAACCTGTTATAAAAAGTTACAAGAAATGAAAATGCGCTGCTCGTGCTGAGATCAATCAAGTCTGTCATCTGTCACTGTGGGTTTTATTTTGAAGATGTGAATCTTATTTAACATCATGGAAAACGGACAAGTTTTATGTTTATGACTTAAACAGGATAAACAGGAGGCAATAAAAGCTCAATTTCAGGATATTAAAAGAAAATTAGTTTTAAAGCAGGAAGGCATGTAAATATAATAATAATAATAACAATAATACTAATATATTTTTTAAGCACCAGGGAGGGAGTTAGATTTTTTCCAATTATTTCTTTTTGTGCTTAGGGGAGGGGCATACAAATTTAAATGGCTGTATTTTGAATTCATTTTACCACTGAGCACTAGCACAATGACATGATTTATCACTGCCAGAAACTACAAAAAATGTTTTAAATTTCTGACGGCCTTGGACACATCATGTGTCCAACTTCTGTCAAAAACAAACAAAAAGAATAAGTAAATTAAAAATCAAAAAAAACAACAACAAAAAAACAAGACACAGAACAAACAACAATTAAAACCTATACCTATATCTAAGCTTTAAGAAGTCAGATTTCATTAAATTCTTTTATTCTTTTTCAACTTTTAACTTTTAACTTTCAAATATCAATGTGTGAGGTTTAAAAAATCTAACAACTAATTTATGATGGAGGGAGGGTCATGAATTTTCTGCCAGTCACTCAGGGAGGATCAAGAAAAACATATGTGTATCTTCAGGGAGGGTTAAGATAAAACAAAACTAAAAAAAAAAGGGAAAAACAAAGTCACTTTGCAGCCACCCCTCACCTCTGATAAGTAAACAACAGTCCCTTCAGAAAACTCCTTCTCCTCTGACTCATGTCTTTTATTGTGAAATCTCAGACCGGAAGTCACCGTGTTTATCCGGTTTGCCTTGACGGGGTGTAACGTCCCGACAGACGGTCTGCACCGTTACCAGTCGACGGTGTCTCTGCTGCAGTTTAACTTGTGTACAGATTAATATCTCTCACCGTGTTGTTTACCGAAGCTCCACCGTCAACATGTCGCACACCGTCATCACGACAACAACAACAACCAGGACTCCCGGTGACGGAGGTCTGAACATGGGCTACACCCGGACCATCCCGGGACTCATGAAGATAGGACAGATGGTGAGTTTACCCGGGATGTCACACACCGACACACCTGGATGTGTTAGCTAACGTTAGCCGTTAGCTTCACCGCTAACATACAATATGAATATTATATTTAATATCACAGTTAATGGAGACAGAGAAGTTTAATGTAAGGTGATAAATATGTGGTGTTTTAAAATGGAGTCTGGCTCTGAATGTTAGAGAGGGATTATTAATATTAATTATTAATAATTAGTTATTTTAAACACATGACACACTGACATCAATAATGCTGCGAAGCAGAGGAAAGTAACTACATTTACTCTTGTACTGTACTTTTTAAAGTACTCATACGTTACTTGAGTATTTCCCTTTTCTGCTGCTCTGCATTTATCTCATCACTGTAGTCAGATTAACAGCAGAATATATATCAACAAATATCCTAAATTACTAGATTATAATGCCAATGAGACTTTATTTATATTTATAAATAACAAAATTTAAAAAGCAAGACTTGTTTTTGTTTCCATTTTCACAGGTTAAAGTTAAAGATCAAAGACGTTTTTATGCACCTATAAGTTTATTTATCTTAAATTTGGTCACAAACTTGTTATAATCTGTGTCAGTGAGCTCTTCTCCTTCTCTAAGATAATCCATCCACCTGACAGGTGTGTCTGATTAAGCAGCATCATCACTACACAGGTGTGTCTCTGGATGGTCACAATAAAAGGTCACTCTAAAATGTGACGTTTGATCACACAACACAACCACGCAGGTGTCCCATGTTTTGAGGGAGCGTGTTCTTGGCGTGCTGACTGCAGGAACGTCCACCAGAGCTGTTTCCTGTCAACTGAGTGTTCATTTCACGACTACAAGACGTCTCCAGTGTCATGTCTGTGAATTTGGCGGTACATCCAACCAGCCTAACGACCGCACAAGCCGGTCACAGTGACAAATTGCTGTCAGGTCAGGACCCTGGTGAGGATGGCGAGCGTGTAGATGAGCTTCAGTGAGACGACTCCTGACAGTTTGTGCTCAGTGTAAGAGCCACTTAAACACATGTTAATATTTGGTTAGAATTTCTGTGTTGACATATCATATAGGTTCTGATGATCTTTAAGTTTACACAACAGTTTCTGTGTATGTTGAATAGTGTATGTTAGTGGACTGTACTGAGGTATGTTTATATTTACTTTATTTATGTGTTAGAATACAGGCACAAGTTATTTACGCCAGGTGTGGTGCAGTAACGCAGGTTAATGTGCATGACAAAAGGAGATTGTGGAAATATTAAGTTTGTGTTGATTTGGATCATAATAAGTGTTGACAGTGTTACGCAGTGTTGAAGCGTAGTTATGGGAATACAATGAGAATTTATAGAAATAGGACATGGAGTCAGTAGTGGACTGTACAAGATGTAATCAGGGTTGGGCGGTAAGACAAAATTTTCATATCACGTTTTTTTAAAAAAATCATATCGGTTTCACGGTATTTGACGGTATTTTGCTCGGGTTCGACCCACTTGACATGCTGCTGTGTTGTGCTACTGCCTGTTCAAGTGCTGGAATGTGTTATTTACGTGACAACACCTGAACGCAACACAGGCTCTGCTCCTTTAGTGCCGTGCTCGGTTATAATTGTCTCAGACTCAGGTTGGCTTCGGTTAGGAAAATGCGGCCTGAGGAGAATTGTAAACGTGCAACCATGTAGAGACAGAAATGACATGTGGTCGTGTAGATAAGATAACATAAGGCGATTTATTTTGTTTAATAAAAGGACAAGGTATAGACCTATTCTATGGGATAGAGCTAGAACTGGATATGAAGTGTCCGTAGCGCCAAATAATAATGTAACGGTAGTTTCTAAAGAGCTAAGATAAGACGGAAAAAAAAAATCAGCAGTGGCAGCATAGGAAACACTGCTCTTTTTGGTATGAGCTCCTCTGGGTCATCGTGTACCGTTGTTTTGTTTTCAGGACTCTCCGGCAGTCATTCTTGCCTCTAAACTTTTCTCCATGCTCTCACTCTAGTCGGCTCTAGCATGCCTGTGATGTGCAGCGGTGAAATGGGTCCCCGCTGAAACACTTTCCTGCTGCGCACGTTCTGGACGTTGGTTTGGCTATTCACCGTTATTGCGGTATATGAAAAATTCATATCATAACGAAAATAAATACCGGTTTTCGGTACGAACCGATGTAACGCACAGCCCTAGATGTAATTTTGTAAGGACTTGGCCAGTCGTTTTGTCTTCCATTTTAGATTCTCAATAAACCTCGTTAAACTTTTTCCCTGCCTCACATAAGCACTGTGGATCTCCAGGAAAGGAACGGAAACACGAGTCAAAACCGAGACACCTCACAGACTAAGTGGCAGAGGAGCTTTGGCATGTTGAAACAGCCACTACACTAGAGATGCACGATAATATCGGCACGTCATCGGTATCGACCTACATGCTTTTTCTTATTCTGCACAATGAATGAATATTACAGACACTGAACTAGTGTTGCACGGTATACCGGTACTAAAATAGTACTGCGGTACTAGAGTATTCCAAACGGTACTATACTGCATTTGGAAAATACTGGTACTTTGAAATTGATTCAATTTATTCATTTAGTTATTTTTTTTACTCATTTATGCACACAAACGCCTTCCTTGTTCCTATTGGAGCACAGATTGCACAAGTGGTGTGTATGACAACACCTGTATCAACATTCACAGCTGGCGCACGTAAAAAAAGACAAGAGAAAGTCTGCCTTGCAAAGGGAGACAACACGAGATAACACAAACTTGGTGGAACATTTGAGCAACCAAACCGTGACATCCGTACCGAGGTACTTACCGAACCATGATTTTTTGGTACTGTTTATTGTTCTAAAGGTTTGTATCCAAAAGGACTTTTCCTTAGGAAAAAGTACCAAAAAGTATCGAAATTCATATTGGTATCGGTACCGAAACAAAGATTTTGGTATCGTGACAACACTACACTGAACAGTATTTCATGTCTCCATCTGCTGGTGGGTCGTCATGATAAGAGTATGTATGTATAACATGATGTTGATTCCACTACAGAGGAGAAATGATGATCACTAACATTAGGTGGGAAAAGTGGCTATATATCGATATCTGTATCAGTTATCCGTCAACTAAATTGTTCTACTGTATATTGACATATCAGATTTGGCAAAAGATCCAATATCGTGCATCTCTATATTTGTTGCATCAGCTGTTTGGGTGGCTGGTCTCAGACCATTTTGCAGGACTCTGGGTGTGGACGTGCTGAGCTGGTGTGGCTACATGTGGTCTGCAGTTGTTAGGTTGGTTGGATGTACCGCCAAATTCACAGACACGACACTGGAGACGTCTTATAGTCATGAAATGAACACTCAGTTGACAGGAAACAGCTCTGGTGGACGTTCCTGCAGTCAGCACGCCAACAACACGCTCCCTCAAAACATGTGACACCTGTGTGGTTGTGTTGTGTGATCAAACGTCACATGTTAGAGTGACCTTTTATTGTGACCATCCAGAGACACACCTGTGTAGTGATGATGCTGCTTAATCAGACACACCTGTCAGGTGGATGGATTATCTTAGAGAAGGAGAAGAGCTCACTGACACAGATTATAACAAGTTTGTGACCTAAATTTAAGATAATAAATCTTTCAGTACATTAAAAAGTCTTTAACTTAAACCCATGAAAGATGGGAGCAAAAACAAAAGTCTTGCTTTTTAATTTATTTCATAGATAGATAAATCAATAAAGTCTCATTGGCATTATAATCTAGTAATTTAGAATATTTGTTGATATATATTCTGCTGTTAATCTGACTACAGTGATGAGATAAATGCAGTACAGAGCAGCAGAAAAAGGAAATACTCAAGTAAAGTATGATTACTTTAAAAAGTACAGTACAAGAGTAAATGTTCTTAGTTTCCACTGCTTCATATCATATCATTCTCTGTCTCCATTAACTGTGATCGTAAAATATAATATTCATATTTTCTCTGGTCTCCATATAACAGTGAAGCTAACGGCTAACGTTAGCTAGCACATCAAGGTGTGTCGGATTTTAACAAATTTGTGGCCAAAATTATTGGTATTATTGAGAATATTGAATGCATGAACAAAAGGTTTATTTTTTTTTAACTTAATCCTTTGAAAAAGGGCTGTGTTTTAATTTTTATTCAGTATAAATATGTGCAGTGTTTAAAACGAGGAGGAGAGAGGTGTAAAATATTGACCAAATAACGTGCGGTTGTTCACGGTATGAAGAACATGTGTGAAAAGATTTGCAAAAATTAGTTAAATTTGAGATAACATGTTAATAAAAGTCAGTTTCCATGTGCAGTATAAACACAGGTATCAATATGTGAAAGCTTCCTGTAATATCAACAGCTGACTGACTGAACTGTTTGACTCATCTTTTACCTTTTACCTTTTTTATCTGTAAAAACTCAGAGGATCCAGGACAAAGATATTAAGTGCAAAACAGTGCAGAAGTTAAAATACAAGGATGATACGATATATTTGAAATGAAATATTAAACATGAAAAATAAAATGAGCTGTTTTATCTGTGTTTTAGCTCCACTGCTTGTTCTCCCTGAATATTGAGAGCATATTTTATTTATATTCTTCATACAAAATGTATAAATTCCTCTGTGCATTCCTCCAACATGTTGCATAGGAAGGAAAACCTGTCAGCACAGTGCATGATGGGAGCTGTATGTCAGTTTCATGGCCATCGATGTTACGACAGGATTTCCTGCAGTGTTTCACTTCAGCTGAAACACCTCTGCTTTTAAACTCTGCAGAAAATCCTGCTGTACCGTCGATGGTCTGATGGACAGAGATACAAGTACCCACTCTGTAAGAAGAGAATGATGTCATACAGAGTCTTCATCAGTCAGCCAGAGGTTTCCTGATGATGAGACCCATGTCGAGCAGACTGTCAGCACACTGATGCTTTAAACCAGAGCTGCAGCTTCAGTGTTTTAAAAGTGTCTCTGTGATTTGTTTCCTTCCAGCTTGCCCTGCTCGTTGCCTTCCTGTGTGTCCGTTGTGCCCGGGGCTGGCCCAGCTGGGCGGCCTTCCAGTACTTTGAGGTAGTGGCGCTGTGGTTCCTCATCGCCTTCCTCATCTTCTTCCTCATGCACCTGTTCAGGCTGCAGGCGAAGATGCCGTGCATCAACTGGCCGCTGACGGTGAGCAAGAAGAAAAGAACATTTCCACGCAGTGTGTGAAACATTAAAGCTTCCTCAGGCCTCAGCAGGTTTATCAAACAGTCTGCGTGTTAACCTGATCTCAGTCTCACTTCTGCTTCTCACTTGTGGAACAAAGACCGGTTTGTTTGTCCCCAGAGTTGCTAACGGGGGATGAATTATTATTTAAGTTACCCAAAGTGTGTCTTCAGGGTCAAAAAAGGAAGGAAGGAAGCTTCTGTGGTGATGTTGCAGCTATTTGCTTAATCTCATGAGTTTATCATAAAGATTCACTTCCTGAATATTATTAGCTTTTTATAGCTCTGAAAAACTTATGAAAACCACCACGTTTCCTCTCTGCTGCTGTCCACTCAGCTGTGAACTGATAGAGTTTCAAATTATAGACAGACTGAGACCAATATTGATATCTGAGAGTTTAAAAAAAATCAGATGATGATAGTTTTCTTAACACAACTCTACACAACTTTACACTAACGTAAATACTAGGGGTGGGGATCATCAGAGGACCCACGATATGATATTATTGTGATATTACAATATGCTGAGTATAGCGATAAAATATATCGCAATTTAGTACCTTTTTTTCCAAATGCAAATTATTTCCCCAAAGAAAAACTTTGTCAACATCAGTTTTAGCTCCTGAGATAAAGTTTCAGTCTGGTCATCGACTTAGGAAAGGCAGAATATGACACAGAGCAGACAGACTGACCAACACTGTCATAATACATGTAAGAGATGCTGCATAGACCTGACAGACTGAACTGTGGGTTTGAATATGAGTGGATTTAGCGTTAGCTTGGCCGTTAGCAGCTAACACTATCTCTGGATGGTGGCGTGTGAGGTGAGCCCTCATGTTCATAGTATTCCCAGAGTATTTTATTCTCTTATGACACTGCTGTAAATCTCATGTGTCATATCCAAGTCCTCCTTCCGTGGTAAAAAATCCAAAATAATTCCAGACCTTTGATTTAAATGCTGATGGCACATTTCTGATTTTCTTTCTACGGTGCCTCCATCTTTGTTTTGATGAACTTCCTGCCAAATGCTGCAGACTGAGACCTCTGCTGACCTCACCAGGAAATTAAAAACATCAGCACCATCTAGTAAAAAGCAACTGATTTTATTATTCTCGGACCAAAAGTTGGATTCAAATGTGTATTTGCACAAATAAATAATGTACACTGTAAAAGATCGATAAAATATCGGAAAAATATCGCAATACCACGCTTTATCAATTTTTTTCCACCCCCAGTGGAAACACGAGGGATCTCTTCATGTGTGTTTTTCATACTGTACAAAGAGCTGTGCGTTTGGTCGAGTCGGCCTCGGTCTTTTCCTCCTGCTGTTTTTTGGGAGGGAAACAAAGTCTGCAGGACGACAGTGGACGTTCTCATGATCGTCTGCAGGATAATCCACCATTAGAAGACAGAATACCCGCAGTGACAGTCGTCCTCACACACAGGGTGATTGTGTGGAGACAGATAATCCTGGAGTTTAGAGGCCTGAAAGAAGACAACTATTGTCTCGAGGTTAATCAGGTTATGAGAAGCTCATTAGGAAGTTTCCTCTCAGAGTCTGAGTCTGTCACTCAGATTGTCTCGTTTCTGCTGTTTCAGGAGTTCTTTCATTACTCTGTCGGGACTGTCCTCATCTTCATCGCCTCCATCGTGGCTGCTGTGAAGAGTGGAGGAGTGTCAGCGCTGGTGGTCGCATCGGTACGTAACCACAGACGTCACATAAACCTGGGTAAATCTACACAGGAGTGTAAACACATGATCACTCCTTTCACCTCTGAGTCTGTTTGTGAAGGTAATGTGAGGCAGAGCGTGCCAGGTCTTCATCAGCAGTGGAGCGAGAAGTGTTTTCATCACAACAGAAAATAAAAACATTTAAAAACAATAGTAATTATCTTTCGGCTGATGAGGAGACGATGATGTGACGTTTCATCATCTCTGTCTATTAAACACTCAGGAGTCATGTGACACTGTTGCTCAGTGTTGTGTTTAATGTATAGAGTGTGAGGAGACAGACTCGCTGTCTGTCTGTCTGTCTGTCTGTCTGTCAGTCAGTCAGCTCAGTGTCAGCCTCTGACGTACTGACCTCAGACCAGCTCTCACCCTCCCTGCAGTCTGAGCTGGGGTCTGTTCGCACGAGCTGTCGGAGCTGTTTGAAAAATACTCTGACGGTGCAAAACATAAAACTCAGGCCAGGGTTGTTTTTTCTTTCGTAAAGGGCAAATTCACCACATTTATGTGGATGTATAATCAGTGTTGATGGTGACTGTAGTCAGCAATTAATTTCTCAGTGTGTGTGTGTGTGATGGAGAAAGCTGAGTTCTGTTTGTGGAGTTGTGCCAGCGGTGCCTACGTGTACAAGGATACATTGCATGTAAGCCTCTGACACCCATAACTTCAGCTAGCTTATAACTATGGCTTTGTTGGTCAGAAGTTGGTTTGTTGGTCGTGACAAAAAACATTGACTGAGGAAATTACTGCAAGGTATTGAATCACAAGATCAAATTGTGATCAAATCACGAGGCTACTTAAATCAAATATTGGTTAAATTGTGTGCAGAACTGAAACAGTGTAAAGAGTATATGGCTGGCAACTCTCAGTTTCACAGTTACACCCAATTTATGCAATTTAAATGCTGTGTAGAAACCACAGTGTGCAGAAAGCGTGACATGGATCGGTGGTTTGGTGCGGCTTCTGCAGTGATGCAGACACTGCCCTGGACTGTCGCGGTGAAGAGGGAGCTGAGCCAAAAGGCAAAGCGTTCTATTTCCTGGTCCATCTCCGTCCCAACCCTCACCTATGGTCATGAGCTCTGGGTAGTGACTGAAAGAATGAGGTCACAGATACAAGCAGCTGAAATGAGTTTCCTCTGTAGGGTGTCTGGGCTCAGCCTTAGAGATAGGGGGAGGAGTCAGATATCCGGAGGGAGCTCGGAGTAGAGCCGCTGCTCCTTCATGTTGAGGTGGTTCAACATCTGATCAGGATCCTCCTGGGCGCCTCCTGTTAGAGGTGTTTCAGGCACGTCCCACTGGTAGGAGGCCCCAGGGCAGACCCAGAACACACTGGAGGGATTATATATCTCATCTGGTCTGGGAACACCTCAGGATCCTCCAGGAGGAGCTGGAAAGTGTTGCTGGGGAGAGGGACGTCTGTAATACTTTGCTCAGCCTGCTGCCCCTGAGACCTGGCCTTGGATAAGTGGTTGAAAATGGATGGATGGATGGAGTATGCAGAAATATTTAAAAACACTGTTTTGAAAAAGGCAATGCTCCTTTTTCCCTCGCCAAAATTTAGCGCAAAGTTGGATCATTATTTGGCCCTCTTTTCAACCAGATAGCATAACATGGGTGGTGCCAATGGATGCTCTGGGTGCTCCAGTTTAATATGATACCTCTACGGAAAATTCTGTGAGTACAGATTCTGTCTGGGCGGCTTATAAAGTCTGAACGTGCACTCAGAGCAGGGGCAGAGATGGTCACGGAGAAAGAACCACAGATTTTGCAGCTGCTGATCTCAGCTCTATTGGTCAATGTATGAATTAATTGCTTCTATTGGACATCCACATAAAAGATGGCACATTTTATCTTAATTGGACGGACTTTGTTTTTCATGATGCAGTTGAAAGTACAAGCCAAGGAGAGTAAGTTAGTCTTTGTCAGAGTTTTAGACTCAAGGTCAAGAATGAACATCAACAATCAAATGTGGTTGCTGAGAAGAAAAGCAGTTGCATATTAAATATGTTTGTGACAGGTTTAATTTATGTCCTGCAGGTTTGTACTCTGCACAAAATGTTATCGTCATCCTTTTATCTAATGATGTTGTGTGTGGCTGTGTAGAGCAGATGCAGAGTGAGCGCTCTGTCTGACCGCCCTCCATGCTAAAGCAAAAACTATTAAAATTCCACTGGGAGTTTCTCCGCCCTTCCTGGTCCTGTCAGTCTGTCCTCGCTCTTGTTACACAGGAAGTCACATTGACTTCACTGATAATATTGTTTGTCTGATTAATCTGTTCCCACATAACCTCACATCTCCCCTGAAAATCAGTCTTCATATTTTGTTGTTTTATTTGTAGAGCAGACTTTGCAAACTAACAGCTTCTGCTTTGTAAGAGAAACTAGTCCATACCCATTGAGTGCACAGTTGCCCACGTACAGTTTCACATGGTGTGTGTTTGGGATACAGGTCATAGGAAATTGCAGATTAAATAGTCAACTGAACCCATTAAGAAGAGCAATGTATTCAGACAGAGTGTTTGTGAATTTGATAGTACGATTGCTTTATTGAAAGTACAGTAGATTGACCACGTCAGTGAGTAGAAAAACGTGGGACAGACAGAATGACTGACAGACAGAATGACACACTGACAGTTTCCGTGATTATGTACAGCATACCATACCATGACTTAGTCATACCAAACATTAGAAAACACCAACATTGGTCCACAGGGGGAGCCACAGCGATCGGTCGCGTTTTAGCCATTTTGAAGCATTTTTCTGTTGTTATAGCGCCACCCAGTTGCCAATTAGAGTTAAATTTCTCCAGTCACCTTGAGGCGTCCTGTTCTACATATCTACCAAGTTTAGTAAAAATCCATATGGCGGTTAGGCCTAGATAAGAAATGAGCTCTCTAGCGCCCCCATTTTGTTTGATGGGGTCAATAATGGAGGGGTCCCCTCAGATTATGTGTGGTCATATGCCTACAAAGTTGCGTGGTGATGGGTGAAACCCTTGAGATGTTATACACCTTTATGTGATGAGCCACGCCCTCCGCAATATTCATTGCCTTATAGAAGCTCAGTTTTAGTAAGTTTTCCAACTTTTGCCAAGAGGGAACTTTAGATATTGGTCCCTAGATTATGTTCACCCAGTTTCATGCAGATCGCTCAAACTTCCTAGGAAGAGATCTATTTGAAGTGTTTTTCAAAAAATTCAAAATGGCGGAAAATCTATATAAGTGGAAGTTATGGGTTCTTGAGGCAAATGTGTTCCTCATGAGGAGAGGCATCTCTGTGCAAAGTTTCATGTCTCTGCGACATACGGGCCATGAGATATGCCCATTCAAAGTTTGACAGTGGGTTGCTATAGCGCCCCCCTTTGGCCAATTGATGTAATATAGCTTCATTGGCATCCTCCCATGACCCTCTACCACTGTGCCAAATTTCACATGGACTGACCAAGGCAGTGAGGAGAAAAACGTGGAACAGACACACACACACAGTTTTCATCATTATATAGTAAGATAATCTCACGGAAAAACATAAAGACCTTTGGTAACTTTGGTCTCTGTAAAATAACCTGATGCGTTGGATCAACATGTGACGTGTGTTCATGTTAACTTGTGTGTGTTTGCAGGTGTTTGGGTTCATAGCCACGTTCCTGATGGCCGTTAGTCTGTGGACGTCTTACAGTGTGACCTGCGGCTCCCATCCAACTGGTACGTCTCATGCTGCACCTGATTTTATGATTTAATATGTTTAATATTCAGGCTGGATTCAGTGAGGAATGCTGTTGTGCTCGAGGTCGACGGGGAACTGAAGAGCAGAAATTCTTACAAACACTGAACCGACTGTTTCAGACAGAATCTCTTGGTGATGATCAGAGACATGTGAGACGGATTCACATGATCAAATTATTTTTACTGCGGTCACAGTCTCATCTCTCTGTCTCCTTCTCTCCTCCATCTTTTCACTTCATTTCTATTACCCTTGCTATGTTCCCTCCCTCTATTCCTCACTACTCTGTACCCTTCCTTCCTTCCTTCCTTCCTTCCTATCTACCATCCTTTGCTTTTGGCTCATTTCCTTCCATTCATCGTCGCTTCCTTCTTTTTTTCCATCCTTGCTTTGCCCTGTTTTCCATACATCCTGTTTTCCTTCCTTCCACCCTTGCCTCCCTCCATCCTGTCTGCCTTGCTTCTATCCTTCTTTTGTTTCCTTCTTTCCTTCCCACCATTAATGCTCCCTTTTTTCTTCTTCTATCCTTCCTGTTTTACTTTCTTTAATCTTCCTTCTTACCAACCTTCATCCCTTCCCCTCATTTTTTCCATCCATCCATCCATCCATCCATCCATCCATCCATCCATCATCCCTCATTCCTTCTCTTCTCCTTCTCATCCATCATCCACCCTTCCTATCTTCCATTCTTCCTTTCTTCCATCCTTGCTTCCTTCCATCCATCCTTGTCTCCTTCCTTCCTTCTTTACGTACTTCCTTCCATCCTGTCCTCCATTCTTTCTTCCATCTGTTCTTCCTTCATCCTTCTTTCTTTCCTTCATCCCATCTTCCATTTTTGCTTTCTTCCATCCCTGCTTCCCTCCATCCATCCCTGTCTTCTTTCTTCATCCTTCCTTCCCTCCCTCCTTCCATCTTTCCTATATTCTCCCTTTCTTTCCTCCCTACATCTGTCCTTCCATCACTCCTCCTTTCATCGTTTTTCTTTCCTTCATTCCTTCCATGATTCTCACATTCTTCATTCTCCTTTTTTTCTTCCTTCCACCCATCCCTTCATCCATCCTTCCTTTCTTTTGTCCTCTATTCCATCCTGTCTTTCATTCTTCCTTTCTTTCATCCTTGCCTACCTTCATCCTTCCTTCCTTCCTTCCTTCCATTCTGTCCTCCATCCATCCATCCTTCCTTCCATGATTCTTACTTCCTTTATCTTCCCTTCCCTTCTTTCTTCCACACATCCTTTTTCCCATCCTTTTATCCACCCTTCCTTCCTTTTGGCATGCTGTCTTCCATTCTTCCTTGCTTCCCTCCGTCCATCCTTTTCTCCTTCCTTTCCTCCCTTCTTACATTCATCCTTCCCTCCATCATTCCTTCTTTCTTCCATGATCCTTCCTTCCTTCCTTCCTTCCCTCCCTCCCTGCAGGTGCAGCAGTGTAGTGAGTGACCTGTGATGAAGGACCCAGGTGGATGTGGAGGCAGTTTGCTGTGTCCTGGTTGATTTCCTGCCTAGCAGCCACCTGGATAATTAACCTGATTGGATGATAGTTCATACAAAGAAGTAACGGAGCAGCTGATCCAGGACCAGCCGTCGTTTCCAACAGCCTGAAACGTAAATATCCCTGACCATCACAGTAAAGCTCTGACAGGAAGTAGTTACAGTATTACTCCAGAACAAAAACATTTATTTACCTTCTGAAGTCACGTTTTCATGTTAAAGGTGCTCAGTCACATTTTAATCATCAGTGTACTCGTAGAATCAACGAATGACACCGCAGTGCAAATAATCCTTCACCTGGTACTGTTGTCATGACGACATTTCCCATCATCCCTGCTGTTTCCCACCCTGACTTTCCCTCCTTGGAGTGGTAGACATGTTGGTTTTTAGTTTTCCCTCCCTCCACCGTCTGCTGGTGAGGATTTAGAGAAGCTTTATAGAAAAGTTGAAGCAGTGTTAGCTCTACAAGAACAGCGCTCTCTTCCTGTCGTGTGCCATAAATCAATCCAGCCCCGCTACAATCTCATTAGTCAGAGTGCAGCCGCAGTCATGAGTCGTCTCTTCTGTTGTTCTTCCTCTGTGGTTTACAGTTCCTGGTTGATTTGCTCGATTCCTGATCAGATGTCTCATCCATTCCAGCTTTTTTACATCCTCCTTTCCTCGAGCTCAGTAAAACCCAGACTGGATCACAGATGTATTAAACTCTTTTTAAAAATCACTTTTCTTAACCGCCCAGCAGTGACATAATGCACAGTTTAGCCCTGTTAGCCTGCTATGCTAATGTTTGCTAGCATACTAAAGTATTCTATCATTCTAGTGTGCTGACAAACGTTAACAAGCTGAGAAGCTACAGAAAATACTTGCATGCTAATGACTTTGTTAGCATGCTAAAACATTACTCAGGGGCTAATGTGTGCTAAAAAACAATAGCATGCTAAAAAAATTATGTGAATTGAAACAAAAGGAGACGTTAGCATGCTAACAACGCAAACAAACACAAGAACTAGTAAAAAGTGTTGCATCTCTGTGATTAAAAGATAAACTGGTGATCATATTTTTGTTGTTGTCAACAAATCCCACATGCAGAACAACAATAAATTGATCTGCTAAGACGTACGCCTGGAATACTCACTATAGCACCCAGTGTGGATTAATCCGCCACTGAAAATAGTCCCCAACAAATGCACTATTTCCTCCTGTTTGTTGTCGTTTGTTGACAAGAAGAAAAATATGAAACAACACCAGCTGTATCCTTCAAATGTGATTTCACTGCTGTGTTAAAAATAAAGCGTGCCATTGATTGGAGACATCAGTGGTACGATCACCATCCAGTGAACTAAATCTTGTTTATCTGGGTGCAGCAGTAACTCCCATGAAGCATCACATTAACATCCTACAGTCAGACTGTGGAAATCAATCTGCTGTTCCCCTATAGCAGCCATGAGTTCAGTATCAAAGGACAGCACTTATTACAGTTTCATTACAGCGTGCTGTCCAGTTTCTCCTCACAGACGGGACCTGTGCGACTGTCCTCGGTGCTTTAAAGAAAACAAGCTGTTCCTCGTTTCAATTCAAATTCAATCTAAATTTTCAGAAAGCACATCAGTAACAGTTTTAAATGACGCCATGAAAGAGAGCAGTGTTCATATTAGACTAAAAAGTGATCATAAATTTGTACAGAGCCGTCAGGGGGTCATATGGTGCAGAAAACCACAACAGATTAATAAACTTCACAAAGGGTTGATAAAACATATAATGAAGAAAAATGTGCACATGGGTTTTATATAGATTGTAAGTACAGATTTGTATTTGTACATGTGGATTATACGAACAGATTAGAAACATTTATGCATGGATTATAAAACGTACACATTTATTAAATAAAGTTATGTACTGATTAATATAACCTACAAACAGATTTATACACGTGAGCAAAGATTTATAAACCATAAATCCATTTTCAACCGCTTATCCGAAGCCGGGTCGCAGGGGCATCCCTCTCCCCTGCAACACTTTCCAGCTCCTCCTGGAGGACCCTGAGGTGCTCTCAGGCCAGATGAGATATGTAATCCCTCCAGCTCATCTCTGAGAGGAGGCGCCCAGGAGGATCCTGACCAGATGATGAACCACCTCAGCTGACCCTTGACATGAAGGAGCAGCGGCTCTACTCTGAGCTCCCTCCAGATGTCTGACTCCTCCCCCTATCTCTAAGGCTGAGCCCAGACACCCTACAGAGGAAACTCATTTTGGCTGCTTGTATCTGTGATCTCATTCTTTCAGTCACTACCCAGAGCTCATGACCATAGGTGAGGGTTGGGACGTAGATGGACCAGTAAATCGAACGCTGGAGATCACGGTGTGATGAAGCCAACAGAACCACATCATCTGCAAAAAGCAGAGATGCAATTCTGAGGTCACCAAACCAGACCCCTTCCTCCTCACGGCTGTGCCTCGAGATCCTGGCCATGAATATCACAAACCAGATCGGTAACAATGGACAACCCTGGTGGAGGCCGACACCCACCAAGAATGCGTTTGACTTTGTGCCAAGTTTGCGGACACAACTTTCACTTTGGTCATACAGGGACCGGATCGCTCATAGCAGCGACCCCAGTACCGTGTAATGCTGCAGTAACCCCCACAAAACGAAAAAAACATGCCTACAAATTAAAACAAAACAATACACGAGCACACGCAGTAATAAATAAATGTATATTATTAACCCGCAGAGAGTGAAAACAAAACGCAGACATGAATTTATAAAAGACGTACAAAATAACAAAAGGTGCACATGCATTTATTGATTCATTTAAATATGAATCAAGACCTTGTATGTAGAGATAAAAAAGCAAACATATGCATGGATTAATAAACTGTATGTGCAGATAAAATGGAACACTGCAACATCCAGATTAAAAGGATATAATAATTATAATAGTTTTGAAAAGGTTTTAAAGTAACGCAGCATTTAACTGTCACAGCGTCTGAATGAAAGCACAAAAACTGCTGTCAGAAAAATAGTGAAAAAACTACAAATATTCGGTTTGATGCATTTAATCGAAAACAATCAGAAGTCACGAAGCGTTTGTACAATTCTCTCTGACTGTTAAAGCACAAATGTCTTAAAATACCTCTCCTGGTCTGTTCGTCATCCTCGCATGTTGTAGTGTTTTAACTATTTAGCTGACTGTGAAAATTCACCTGTGCTTTCATTTAGTGATTGTAAACTCTATTAATCTGTTCACTCAGATTTTCACACCATATGGCCCCCAGCTCGTCGTTTTCTGACCAGTCACAGTTCCTGTGCCATTAAACTGAAGTCCTCTGATTAGTTCACTAATGGCAAACAGTTTGGTTTTTAGTTCCACAGACATTTCTGATGGTGATTTGGTAAAGTGACACTGCTGCAAACTAGAGAAGTATATTCTAACCTTGTTAGGTTAGCTGCGTTCAGTGGCTTGAGAAAATCATTTGACTTTTCAATACAAGCTCTGGAGCTTTGTTACAAACTTTTTTGATTCGTCTGTTTGAGAAACTGATCAACAAAACTTTAACTTGACCAAAAAGGAGCCAGAGTTCTGAAATGGTAGATGTTTTGGGCCTCATTAGGTCCAAATTTCCAGACTTGGCAATTTCATCTGAACCTAAATTACAGGTGTAAACGCAGTCTGGACATAACGGCCGAACCTTGGTTGGACGAAAAGAGGTGATGTTGGTCCGGATCAAACTGAGTCATGGTTTGGGTTGTTTGTAGTGTGAAAATATTTTTCAGATAGGTTGGACTTTCAGACCAGTTGCAGGAACTTCTGGCAGGCTGTTGTCAGAACAGAAACCCCCCAAAATGAGCAGTGGAAGCAGACTTGGAGGAGACCAAATGTTTAACTGACATCTGGTCTGATGACTTTATAAAGGGTCAGTTGGAAAAAGTTATGACACTTTAAAATTATTACCAGAGAATGTGAGAAACAAGCAGAACCAACTGCATCAAATGTACGTACACAGTGTAAAGGTCAAAACACACCAGCGGTGACAGCTGCGCATCAAAAAATACGCCTCTATTATTTCAATGTACAACCCCACACCAACGATGGCTAGACACACGCCGGCGCTCATTGACACCCTGCCCCGTGGCACTTCATGCCACTGTTCTATTTCCAGCCTCGACGCCCCCAAAATTAAATGCCTTTTTCTTCCATGCACTCTCTGCTTGTACAGACCAGCTCCTGTAGCAGCTCTTTTTCTCTGCTCCTATGGCAGCTCAACTCCTCACCATGGATGTATAAAGAGAACTATATTCTGCGCTAAAAGACCCACAGTTTCGTCGTTATAAGGACAGTGGTCAAAAAGATACTTCCTTCTTCAGGTGAGAAATCAGTTTTGATTCGCGGCTGTCCCCACATGATTTTAAGCTAATGTAGACGTGGAGGAAGTACAGATCTGTCAGTAAAAGTAGTGATAACTTTATGTGGTTGTCTGTTGACGAGCTGCGACGCAACACATCCAATGTGTGCTAGGGGCGGCACTTGACATGGTCACATGGCGCGTTGCGCCGGTGTGTTTTCAGCTTAACAAAAACAAGAACCTTCATTCAGACTTTAAGGTGTGAAAAGACCCTTTGTCTAAAATCGGCACAATTTGATTTAAATCTGAAATTACCAAAGAATTCAACAGTCAAGAAGACTTTGAATCTGACACGACATTTGATGCCAACTTTCATCACTTGAAAGTTTTAGATACTGTGTGTTATGAACATACTTTAATCTGTAAGCCAAAAAAGTAGCTAGGCAGCTAATGTTTATAAGTTTTCTCTGAACTGTATTGCTATTATGTTTTTGCCAACAGCAGCTAACTTGTTTACGCGAAAGTTTTGCTCAACGCCAAAGGTAAAGCTTCATTAACTGGGCAAGATTAATAGGGAGGAACAATAAGCTAGTGGCCTAGAGTAAAACTATCAATGCTAACAGAGCAACAGCAGCATTTTTGTGGGGAATGAATCAAAACAACTTTGAAACACTGAAATAATTTTTGGTTTTGAATTTTGTGCTTTAGCTAACAAGCTGATTGTAGCCTCACTAGGCCCCGTTGTTAATTATATTAACACATTATTACTTGTTAGCCAGATAACGACTTCACCTCATTTTCTTTTAATGGAATTATGTCATAAGCTTTTCATTTTAACACGTATCTAAGTCACGTTAGCTAGCTTGCAGAGCTTAAAACAAACAGACATCAGTGCCATTTTCATTTAAATGTTAACCAGAGTTCTTCTTGTGACTTTAGAGTCAGTTAGCTAACCAATGAAAGTTCTGGAAAACAGCAAACTGAAGTTTAACTCAACAGATTAAATAACGACTGCAGCTGGAGCAGGTCTGCCTCTGAGAAATGTTTGTAGAATTAAAAATCATATTTAAACCTGGGTGCTGGAAGACAGAGGAAGTGGTCTGTGATTTCGTGGGAAACTTTTCTGCCATTTCTTGTTACAAAACTCTTGATGATGTGAAACTGAACTCTGCTTTAGGTCGGAGACGTTAATCCTCAGATTACTGCCTTACTGTTAATCAGATGCCAAAAATCTTAGTGTGATGCTTCGGACTTTGCACTGAATGTGTCCTTACGTTTCCTCTGAAGCAGCTCCGAGTACAGAATGAAGGATTTATGTCTAATCTGGTTAAAATCGAATGTTTCACTTTGACTATGACCACGTGGAAGTTTAGGTTTACTGAACAAAATTATAATGGACTTAAATAATTACTTACTTCTGGTGCATCCCTTAAAGCCCCCACACACTGTGTGACAACAGTCCAACAGCTTCACCTTGTGTCCCACTGTGAGATGCGTATGATGGAATCTTGGTTGAAGCATTACAGATTGTTTGATGAATGTCAAGGCCAGTTTATGCTTCCTGCAAGTCCACAAGATCAGCTTTGGTCCATGTGACATAAATGTTGTCATCTGCTGACGTCCACAAGGTCTACATTGACCCCAATGTGGACGTCTGTATGCACCCTAAAATTTGTTACCGTGCAGACTGTCTGAATGTATATGCCAGCTGCTCATGCTTCAGTTACAAACCATTAATTTACACACTAGTCCAAATGTTAGTTTGTGCACAGGTGGTTTGCCAAGCAGCAGAAGAACATTACAAAATGGATGCTTGTTTTGAAGAGCGGTTGTGCAAGGCCATCCTACGTCACCCACAGTTATATAATTTGTCTTATACAAAGACTGACAAATGGGGTTGAACTCCCGGTGAGAAATGACGCAAATGCTTGGGAGAGATGGAAATGCCCGTCATCGAAATGGGAAAAATCTGCAAGACAGATATGTAAAGGCCAAGAGAAAACTGAAATATAGGAGTGGAACGCCAGATTGTAGTATGTATCAGGGTTCCTGCAGATCCTTAAAAAGTCTTAAGTCATATAATAAGATCTTACTTGGTATTAAAATGTCTTAAATCAATCTTTTAAACGTCTTAAAAATGTGAAGATGTGGAAGGCAGGATTTTATGATCCTCTTTTTTTCTGATGTATTGTAAAACCTCAAAATAATTGGTTAAATCTACCAAATGTCTCCTGCTCTAATGTCACATAAATCAGAATAGTCGAACCAACAACACTCGGATCAGAAGATGCACAGTCTGCTAGCTAGCTGTCACTGTACCCTGGACGACAAAAATTGGCCATTAAACCAAGATTTGTGGCATGGCTGAAAACCGGTACAGGACAGTGCACATGAGGTGTGCAGTGTATTTTCTGCCAAAAAATTGTCTTAAATCTATCTTGCCATCAGCTGTAGGAGCCCTGTGAATGGAACTGTGTTCACATCCTCATGACCAGTACACGTCTGCAGCTGTCTGCGGAAAGTGACAGGGCGCTCGGGAGGCGTGCACTCTGGCATTGGAGTGCACCTGCCGCATGTCTACATTGAAAACAATGAATTCGAGGGCACAAAAAATCCGGCATGTGTACGGCCCCTTACAGTATTCACAAGTTTTCCATCTATGATGCTGAATCCAAAA